AAGACTCCTTGAGATTAAAAAAGAAACAATAAGAATATGGCAACAGAACTGGAATGATAGCCCGAAAGGAAGGCTGACATTCCAGTTCTATGAAAATATAGAAAACAGGTTAAATGCAAAATGGATAAAACATAACCATTTCATAGTTYAACTCCTCACAGGACACGGTAATATTAAACAGAAACTCAAGAGTCTTAAATTAGCAGACACTGATATTTGCAGCTGTGGTGAAGTCGAATCAGTCCGACATATCATCTTTGACTGTGTGCTCCTAAATGACTCAAGGCTTAGTCTAAAACAGGCAATATTAGATAAATACCATATTTGGCCATGTGATTACAAATGCTTAGTAACTAAAGAAATTTTTGGCATTTTTAATGAATTTTCAGTTACAGTACTTAAGAACAAGGACCTAAACATAAGAAGGTAAGCGTTCTTAATCCCTGCAAAAGAAGCTGTAGACGTATTCGCAGGCACCAATTGGTGTACCGATACAGCTGGGTTGCAAAATTATCCAAATACTAGCAATAACATCTGATGCTAGCCTGCATGAGACCGAGCAATTGCTGGTGACCCCGCCTCCTCGTGGCCCCTGCTGGACAACGTTTTGCTGGTAAATCTTAATGATTTGCCAGCAAAACGGCTAAGTGGGTTCACTTCCCAGCTTTGGGACGGTCTACCTCTCTGATGATCCAGAAATGGTGAAGAGGGGGTTTTTCCAAGCCCAATGATCATAACACCTACGGTCATTGTTCTCTTCGCAATGGTTTTACGCATTCAACATCACGTGTAATAGGCAATAGCCTGAGGCACAGCTGGGCGAGCACTTGCTCGACGTATGCTCAGAATTACAATAGATGTTTCTTACTTTGCCGGTTTCTTATTTGGCAATCTGTAGAATGTCTAGGAAATGTATGAACTATAAATACATTTCATATATTTCCGGCTAATTTTAGGCACTACCACCAATGCCTAGGCATTCTGTAAAATGCCTGATTTTCTTTACTTTTCTGGTAACATATATACACGGAAAACTTCGATTAATTCATAATGTACGTAAAATAAATGGACACGTATACTTAAGTTCGATCGGCAAGAAAAATATTTATAAATTAAGGTATGAAAAAATGTTTTCGGTGTAGTTAAACTAAATTAGAGGACTAATATAAAAGTGAAAAAAATTTTTCATTAAGGTAATTTTTTAATGAGAAATCAAAGTCAACGTTATATTTTTAAATGGAATAGCCTAACATTTTTTCTTGATTCTGATAAAGCATTAAATTCTGCATAAAAAAACCATTATACTATGTAGAACCTAAAATGAATAATTGCTGAGATATTCACATATAAACTTTTATCATCACAAGTGTCCGAAGTGTTTTCCATTACAATCAATGCATTTTCGTTGTTTTCTCATTCTTTTTTCTCAAATTTGCGTTTCTGTATATCAAAACTACCTATTTTTTTGAGTTGTTTTTGTGATGGCTGATTCGATGAGGGTATTTATCTCCATACATTATTTTAGCCAGCGTAGCATTATTATTGCACGCACCGTAAACAATTATTATTGTATATCATATTTTTCTCTGTTACTGAACATTCTAATAAATCTAACAATTTCCTCCGTAGACATTCTATTTCTACTAAACTAAAGTGATATTTCCTATCGACAATATCAGTTGCCTACGATCATGTTTACTAATATTATTATATCGTCATAAACAAACTTTAAACATTAAACATACATGGAATTAGCAATACCAAATAACTTACGGTTAGTACTATTAAAATAATATTTTTATATTATCCTTCTATTTTTTTAGACTGAAAGATATTAGATCTATTTCATTTTTATAATTTAAGATTATAAAATAATATATATGTATATCTATTATAATATATTAATATTATCTAATATTATTAATATGTAATCGATGTAGCCCATAGACGATTAATACTATTGCATAATCGTGGAAATTGTTCAATAATATTGAACATGTGGAGCTATTTAAGTTAGAAATAAAAGAAAATTAATAATTTGTACTTATAAGAGAAAACGAAATAATCTCATCTCTATAACTTCAACGTATTTACGGTTGTGTGTTAGATTGAAAGAAAGAAACAAAGAACATTTCAATGAAGGACGCGCTGGCAAATAAGCATACTCACATATAAATAAATATTTATAAAAAATCTTTGTTCTACTGTTTATATTTTACTTATTGTGTTAATATAATTAGGACAAAAGCTCTTAAAAGATTATCTTTCTCTCTGTAGTTCATCAGAAATCTATATGCGTAATACTGTGTCAATTGTTTTCGTACATTCAAACAATTTGTCAAATTTTTTCATTCGCATTTACATTTGTTAGTTATCTTAAATAACTCCTGTTTCTCTCGCTGCTGCCGTTGCATTTTTGTTTCGTTAATAATTTCTCCTTCCACTCCCTTTAGATGCTTCTGCAGCTGCTACTGTTAGCCGATATACCTACTTCACTTTTGGATAAGTTATATTGCGTATAAACTTTAATCAAGGGAATATTAGAGATATTTATATAGATATATCGAAAAAAAGAGAGATTGTGTTTATTTGGATAGACACTCCAATTGGAATATCGAAAAGTTAGTAGTGAATGAAAACTTTATCTTTTTTATTTACAATAAATATAATGTAATCTATATATTGCATAAATTGATTGCATAAATGAATTGTTTTTTGAGAACACGCTGTATATTCCTTGTAGATATAAAAAATATGATATTAATGTTTAACAAAAATAGAGTATGTTTTATTAATGTAAGATATTTTATTGTTATAGATGAGTAATACAATAGACTCTATACGACTATCAAATGAAAGTTATATCCGTGAAGAAATGTCATATTTATTTGGTAGAGATCCCAGTATTTTGGCATATGGACAGAGACCTTGTCCATCGAAATGTTAGGCCCGACGTGAACTATACCTGCTTAGATGTATTATCTTGATCCCTTGGAAAACCTGTCTAAACCTGCTAGGGCTAGTAGATAAAACCTACACCTGCGCTGCATACTAATTAAGGGACATCCGTTTCTACTTTTTCACGCCGAACATAAAATTTGGAATTTT